ACCGACCAATCTGCCAAGCATCCCTGGCTACCTGGGCCCGCGCGCAGGGCCGGGCTTTTCCCCACCCTGCCCAGGTGACCAGAGCATCGCCTCCCAGGCGCCAGGCTTTTGTCATGCAGACAAGGTGGGAGATCCCCGCCCTGAGGGACTCAACAGCAGCCTCTCAGGCTGGCAGAGACAGGTCTCTGGAGAGGGGCACCGACGGTGGCATTTCTGCCACAAAGCCTGAGTACTTAGGGTACCATGTTAAGTGGCTAGAGTAAGGGACAGGTCCAAGATGCAATGTGAAGGTCAGCTGCCAAAGATGAACAGCTGGGGCTGATGACTGTGGGCACAAGCCAAGAACAGGGAGCCTGGAAGGAGATCTCTACGATGGTGCAAGAGACCCAACCAGGGAAGTCTATATGGAAAGGGGAACGATGTTCATGAGAATGGAAGCTGGCACCTCTGGTATCGGCAGTGCTCCACCTCTGAGCACCCAGCCATTGAGATGAAGAACAAATTCAAATGCCTAATATCAGGAGGGTAGAGCCTAGTCCACTGGCCGAAAATGCCATGTTATGCCCATGTAAAACCTCAGTAATCTGGTTGGTATTTGCCAGCCGCTCCCTCAGGAAAAAAACAAAAAAACAAAACAGCCAAATACATCCTAAAGCTTTCTACAGCACAACTTGTGCACATCATGGAAAACAAAGCATTGATACACCATGGATAAAAGCTGGCTGTATATCCACAGCTGAAGCATATCTTGTGCTGTTAACTCCAACTAGGAACCACCAAGCCTAGGAGGAGGTGAGATTATTTGGGCAGCATCATTCACATGGTCCTCACAGCCACCAACTCGGGAAAATAATGCAAGAGCAATAACATGACTTTCCTGTTTCTCTGTGTCCTCCTGTCCCGGTACGCAGACTATAAAATGGCCTCCTCTCAGACACGTTCCCAGTGGCCTCCTTTGCCAAAAGTGGCTAGACATCCCCACCCGTGGCATTGTAAAGATTTTTAAAGGCCTGGAGACAGAAATTCATAACTCTGCTGGACAGTACAGGGGAGAGTAGATGTTAGCGTTAGCAAATGCTAATAGTAAGGACTGCTAGTCAGCGGCCATGTCTACACAAGCAGCCGAGGGCGCTGTTGTCGCTGTGCAGTCCCAATACCACCCGGTTAGTTTTAGTTGCTACTGTGCAATGGTGTCAGCATCATGGCTCGTGACCAGCAATGCTATGCTGCCATATCGATGAGCTACAGTGCGGTAGCTTGTCGCTACGGTGATGCAGCATCCCGTGCAGACGTGCCCTATGTGAAGGGAAACTAGCGCTTGTGATCGGTCACACATTCGGGGTCCATGCCCTCTCCAAGGCTAGGGATGTGCCTAGGACCATGGCTGCTCCAGCCCTGCCCTGCTTGCTGGCTCTCCAGCCCCGTCTAGGCCAGCGAGGACGGGGTGGAGGAGGGACATGGCCTGTTCCCTGCAGCCCCCAAATCCCCTCTCCGCTCCTTGTCAGAGCCCAAGCCCCGTCCACCTTGCGATCCCCTGTGCAGTTCCCTCCTTAACTGAGAAAACTGCGACTTACTTTTCTCCAGGACCCAAACCTCAGGCTGTTTGATTCAGGAGCAAACACCACCCAAGTGGGGGAAGGAAAGTAACTGGAAGCACAGAGCTGGAAGGGCTGGTCTCAAGCTCCATCCCATAATAATAAGCATGAACACTTTAACCCTATAAATGCCCAATTCCTGCAGAGAGGGGATGCTCTCCCCATCTGTGGCCAGGTCTATTGTGACTCCCCCCGGCCTAGGGGCGCAGTCCTTGGGCAGGGGCTTGAGCCCACGTCAAGGTTGATGCTTTCCCCATTGCGGGTCGGCCTCAAACATCACCTCCTAGGTGCCCTGTGGGTGGGCACGGGGCCCGCGATCCCCCCCCCCCTGCCATAGACTCAGGGGTTCAAGTCCCCAACCCCCTCAAGTGCTGAGGGGGCAGGTGGGGGGGGCAACAGCCACAACTGCCCCTGGAAGGAACCGGGGCTGGGGGCCGCCTTCCCCTCGCACAGCGCCTCCCGCTCATCCTCCAGGGGTTAGAAATCCCAGTGCTGGGCGATTTCCCAACCCCGCAGTGAGCGAGGTCCCCCCAGCCCCGGACAGGGCCTGTTCCCCTCAGGCGGGTGGGAAGCGCAGTGACAGCCCTGCCCCAGGGGTCATGGGGGGCATGAGGGGCAATGGCTCCACAGGCGGGTCGGGGGGTCCCTGTGCCAGGGACACTGAGAAACCCACGTCCTTCCTCCCACCGCCCCTGCACGGACCCCAGGGCGCCAGGGATGCTGCTCCCCGCACTGCTGCAGCTGTTGCTGGGGGCAGGGCCAGGAGCGCCCCGGACCCAGGCCAGGGGGTCGAGGCACCGGCTGGGGGCTCTGTACCCGCACCTGCTCCTGCATTCCCCATGGATGAGACACTGCGACCTGCTCACGAAGGCCCCAGTGACCTGGCACCGAGGCCTTGTCCAGGGTCTCTGGGTGGATCCTACACGCTGGTGTCATGTCTTTGTCCCACCCCGCATGCAAGGCTGGACACACACCTCCTCGGCAGCTCACGCAGCCCTGATCAGTCAGTGTCTGTTCACAGAGAGACGTCCCCCAGGCACTGGCTGCGGGGGGCTGGGGGCGGGG